GTGGGGGGGGTCTTTGAACAATTCGGGGCAGCTTGAAAAATAGCCAGGAAGTCTGGCCAAGGCTGCGAGAGGGAAACGTATGGCACTGCAGAGAGCAGGGAAGTCCAACTTGCCTGAAATATGAATTTGCCTAGCTGCATAAATGAGACTTTTTTTAAATTTTATTTTATTTTTATTTTTTTTGCTGCTGTTGGGCCTCGTTAGGGGCATAATTAGTTCGGTATGTTCCTGCCTGTGGACGGGGAGCTTTCAATAACGCCGAATTAATAGCTTTTTATTTTATTTTTATTTTTTTGGATGGTGTGAAACTCCAACTCTGAAATTACCTGCAAGCCCCAACTGCTGCCTCAAGTTTTGGAAGTGAAGAATTACTTAAGGAATTTTTGTGGTTTCTTTGTCGTTTAATAAAAGCAGACGTTGCTACTGTGGAGGCAAGCCTCCCGTTGTTGCCTACAAAGGGCACTGCTCCAGTGTGTTTTCCCTTCAGTGTGTGCTTCAGCTGCACAGCACTTCCTGTTTATTCAAACATCTTTTTACCATTCTTCAACCCCCGCTTCACAGAAACAGCCAGAGCACATCTCCAGCGAGAAGACGGAAATCTAAAGGCAGACAGTAAGAGCTCACTCGGTTCAACTCTTCGCTTTCTCTGTAAGCGTGCAGAGGAAAGGCACATGCAGCTGGGATTGAACTTTTAACTTGCTCTCTTCCTCCGCGGAGGTATTCTTGCAATGTAGGGACGTTTTTCCTTGCCTGGGTCTTTAGAGCAAAAATAAGATGGTTCAGTGTGTTTACTGCCTGGGGGGGGGCATCAGAGGGTCTCCCTCTCCCTCCCTTCCCCCCGAACTCCCCTGCTCCGATTTTTAAAGACTTTTTCCTGGTTCTGCCTCCTCTCTCTTGCCAGCATCTCCGGGGTGTAAACAGTTGTGCCCTTCTGGGAGCTTAGCCTGCGTGCGCTCGTGGTGTCTTGTGTGCTTTCCTATCACTTTCATAAGTTGGAGGTGGGGTGGGGAAGGAAATGCAGCATTTGTTCTTTGCAAAACGAGGGAGGGGGGCTTTGAGTCCGTGTCTGGAGAAAGCATCTTGTTGTTGTCGTTGTTGGGTTTGGTGTGGTTTCCCCCAAATAATTTGCCTCGTGACCGCCACCGTTTGTGAACCCGGCTCGTTAATATTTGTACCAATTTCGTGCTAATAAAAACCAGGCTGCTGAAACAAGCATGGCTATTATCTCATTCATATTACTATTGTTTAGAGCGGTGGTGCTACAAAAGGCAAGGGAAGGCACGCTCACTTTTGGTGATGGTTGTTAACTTTCATGCGAGGGGCTTTCTCTCCGGCTGTTCATTGTTAATGATGAGGGGCGCTGTGATCCTCAGCCTGTTTTCAAAGAGACCATTGGTTCGCTGTGTACGATGTGTTGCACCATGTATGCTGGTTTTATCCATGCTGTTCAAGTGACTGACTTAATAAACTATTCAATATTTCTTTGCTATTTCTCCCCCTCGAAAGTCCGACAAAATAAATCGGTAAGTTTTTTGGGGGGGTTTTTTGTTTGTTTGTTTGTTTGTTTGTTTTTTTAATGTGATCGTGGCATTCATGTACTGGCTCTAAAACATATGAGGAAATGGAAAATATCTAGCCTGCCCTATGGAGAAAACCCATCCTCACTGAGGCTTTCTAGCTCTGTGAGGTCCTAATACACTTTAAAAATTTTGACTGTAAAAGCCCGTCTTCTTAGAAGAAGAGAGCAAGGGAGAAATCAAGCTGCGAATTCAGCCAAACCGCAAGTACAACAAACATATTTTAAAAATATATTGCGAGGCTGGCTTTTTTAATGTTCAGAAGTTGTTCTACTTTGCAGGGAGGGAAAAAAAAAATGGTGTTTGCAACTGCCTTAAGGACAATTTGTTTAACAGTAGGAGTAATTGCATGGGGAAAATGGAAAGAGTGACTGAAGTTATTTACTCAGATGTTAGTGTAGGTGTGGGGCAGAAAGCTCACTGTGGGAACAGTGGGCTGCTTTTCTTGGTATCTTAGTCTATTTGATGACCATCAAATTTCCCAGCTCGCTGGTTTTGTTTTTTCTGGATGGCATGTTTGATTATTTATCAGAAGGGAAAGGGAGTAGCTGAAGCAAATAAACATGTGACCAGGCTGTGTTTTGTTTTCCACTCAGAAGGCCATGCCCTTTTACAGATATACAGAAAATAATAAACGCATTGTTTTATGATAAAAGGAAATTGTGTGTGTCATATTTCCGCCCCCCCACCCCCCCCATCTCGGTCGGTTAACCCTTCGTGCTTGTACCTCCAGACAGGTTTACCACTGTGGGGGGGAGGTGTAAACAATATTAAAAGCAGTGGCTTTTAATATTCTTCCCGTAGTGGAGCGTGTCCAAAGTTTGTTCTTTGCAGCCATTCGGATTTGCTGGGCTTATTGCGTAGTCGTTGCTACTGCTGCATCTCCAGGGTCCTTTTATTGCGTCGTGGCCCAGGTGGCCGAGTCAAGCAGAAGCACTTGCAATCGATCCAGAAAGATGCTGAGTTGGGAGCCAAATCCTGCTCGTTTTGTTACGGCGCTGCTCCAACCACTTTTACAGCATGTGGCGGGGTGCAGCCCCTTGTAGACACCCTCCTTCAACACAGTCCTTGTAGTAATGCTGAGTGCAGCACGGGGCGAACTCTGGAAAAAACAACAACCATCCTATGAACTGAATGACTGTCAGGAAATAAATTGGGGTTTTGCTTGCTCTCTGGGAAGCAGGTTGCATGTTTTACCTGCTTTTACTAGATTAAAAGGAGCAAGTTAAGACTGCCATATGCATGAAAGGGAACTGAGACGCACTTTGTTTCCCCGTGGGCAGGTAGGTATACATTTAATAGACGGGCCAGCTTTCCGAATCTCTCTTTGTCTCTTCGACTCGCGTGTCGGCTCCAGCATGTTTCTGAGCCCCCCGCTTCTATAATATACTAAGCAACTTCGGACTGGACCTCAGATGTGCTTTCTGATGTGTAAGGGTCATTCTTTTCAACCAGGTCCCGATTTACATTCACCAGACAGACCCCAATAACCAAAAGGTCTGGCTTTTTAAAGTTGCACGTACATATAGACGCTGATGTCAGTAGAGGATCAGAGGGCAGAATTGGGGGATGAGCGTACGGGAGGTGGTTTGAGGGTAAATAAGGCGCTGCTTTGGAAGGACGCCGTGGGAGAAGTGGCCAAGTGGGCATTGAAGCTTGGCATTGTAGATTTGGTGGAGGAGGAAGGAGGTGTGACACAACTCAAGGGAAGAGAAGCAGAGAGATGCTGGCAGCCTAAAAGGTGGTAAGGACCAGAAGTGTGATTTTTTGCTGCGGTAAAGAGTCGTACGGTCAGAGTGATAGGTCAGGGAAACGTTGGATGACTCGGAGGAGAGAAGGGGGGAGGTTTGAGGGTGGCAGAGAGAAGGGAGGGGCAGTCGTCGGGATGGAGACAATGAGTTTTTGATGTGTAGGCCAGATACTGGAGACACGCTAGAGCAGGATTCACACCCGCCTGGATTCATGGCTCTTGAGCGATGGGGAGAGTCTAAGACAACACCCAGGTCCTGGGCCCGGGTCATGGAGCATGGAGGTGTCAACTACCACAAGGAAGAGTTAAAGGAATGGAAATGCTGGGGTTGTCATACCAGGTGGGACCTGTAACCCATGCCCAAGCCAGGTACCCGTGCCCAAGCCACTGCCCTTCTAAATGGTTGACTAGAAGATGCAAGCAACTCCAAGAGTGAAAGGCTCTAGAATAACCTGCTCATCAATGAAGTTTTGCCCCAACTTACAATAGTTAGAGATTCACTTAGGCTTTGAAACCTGAGGCTTTTTACCTTCGCTTTGTGTTTTTTAAAAAAAACCTTTTCTGAGGTAGATATGACTCTTCTTATTATCATTAGCAAATGTCTTCCCCTGTTTTGAATCCTCCTTTACTCTTGGCATCTGTGATACCTTGTGACAGGCAGTTCCAGAGGATAATTATCTAGAGCTCCATTTTTGGGTTTTTTTAAAAAAAGGAAGAACCTTCTTCATCTGTTTTAAATTTGTTGCTGTCCAGCTTCATTGAATGTCTCCTTTCTCTTGTATTATGAGAAATAGCCATGATTTGTATACTTTTATCAGATCCCCTTTTACTCATCTCTCTCTAAACTAAACAGTCCCAGACTTATCAATCTCTCCTCAGACCTTCCTAGGCTTCTAATCATTTTTGTCACGTATGCCTTTACCATTCCCTATTTAAAATAAGATTTTTAGAAGTGAGCATACTCTTGCAAGTTAGTATGCCTGTTAGATTGCCGCAGTGTCTTTTTGATTTGCAGTATGATTTTCCAGCCCGTTTTTTGTGTACCTGCTTGGTCCCTCTCTGAAGTGTGCGGCAAAGGTGTGCCCAGTGATGGCCACGTGTGCTTTGCATCAAATTTAATTTATACCTAGTAATATGTGCAAGCGATTTTAATGTACCTGGAGTTAATTGTGCAAGCAGTTTAAATGTGCTTTCTAATAGTACCTGGATTTAATTGCCATTTCTCTTTCCTCTCAGTTATCTTTGGTCCCTTGGAGGTCCGTATGGGCTTTACAAGTCATATCTAACCTAAAAAATTGCAAGTCACCTGCGTTGCTCCTCACTTTTTCCTGATTGCTGACTATATTGAGCTGTACTGGTATTCATTGTGAACAGTGAGGCATAGCAACATGGTTGTCTTGTTGAAAATCCAAGGGGAGTTTATTCCATGAACCTCTGAAGGCCATTTTTGCCCCATAATGTTTTTCATAGATTTTATAGACATTAGGGCTGGAAGGGACCTTGGAAGATCATCAAGTCCAGCCCCCTGCCCCTATGTTTTTGGAACGTAGATTTAAAACGTGTTCACTGTCCTGTTGACTACAGGTAAGGCGTTTGTTACCTTCCCTCTCCATTGAACTACACTGATCTAGGGAGTATTTTAGGTGTGCAGAGCTGTTTCTATATGGTATGTCCAGCTAGGGAATTGCTTAGTAGGCACTTGGGTCTCCAGCCTCAAGCCTAAGCAGGGCCTACAGGCCAGCCACTCGCCATTGAAGTGTTGAATTTCATCAAAGCCTCTTTTTACCAGCACAGCCCCGCTGTACCTAGCTAACCAGTATCCATCCCCTTGGTAAAACCCACCTATCAAGGGAAATCAGTGCACCAAAGGGATGTAGTGAGATTGGGGGCAGGTGAAGAGCTGAGTGTAGGGATGGAGCTGGGAGACTCCCACTACCAGAAATCTCCCCGTTTCTCTTGAGCCTGGAAGGAAGACATGGGGAGGTGATGAAGAGTAGAGGTAATCTGTGGAGGAAGTAAGGGAAGAAAAGATCAAGAGCTGAGGGATGGGAAAGACAGAAAGAGAAGAGAAAAGGTAGAGAGGAGGCACCTGATACGTTTTCCTGCTAGGTCGGGGTGATGGAGGGATTGCACGAGTTGGTCATAGGTGCTGGACAGGCGTCTGCTTCTCGTTTGCATCTTCTGCATTGGAGTCCTCCTCTTGCTTTCATTTCTTTCCCGTCTCGTGGGTTCTCTTTACTTCCACTACCAGAGGAAAAGCATTACCCGTGCACCAGCTTTGCACTTCTTCTGCAGACTGCCTCGCTCCCCGTTGTGTTCCCCGTGCTGCCCGGGTCCCGCAGACATCGGGGACAGCTGCAGCAGGGCTGGGCTCCAGCATCGACCCTCTG